TCGGGGTTTTAGCTCTAGCTCGGTCAAAACAAGTCGCACAGCCAAAAGAACGACTGTTTTGTGCTGCTATCGACCACCACTTACCACCCCTATCACTCGTTTTTCGATATTGGGAAAATCAATTTTCGGCTAAATTTCGCATTTTTGATAAGGGGTACCATCATCAAAATTTTCGAAAAATGGCCGAAAATGAAGTTTTCCTGATTCCAGTGCAAATCGATTGGGCATCATAGCAATCAAATTACAAGCCCTACGAGGTATTACATTCCATATTTGGACCATTTTTGGCTGTGCTATGGCTGAAAAACTGATTTTTTGGGGCCCAAGGTCAAGTATACGTCGTTTAGAGCCCAGATTCTTGCCCTTTCTTAGCTCTAACTTTGTCAAAACACGTCGCACGGCTGAAACAGTGACTGTTTTATGCAGCTAACAACCAAAACTTTAAGGCCCTATACTTGCTTTTATCATTAGTGTTTTGATATTTTCTTGCTAGCTCCTGTTTAAGGGCTGAAAAATCAGGAAACCTATTTTTAACAGATATTAGCAATAGTGTGTTCGGGGTTTTAGCTCTAGCTCGGTCAAAACAAGTCGCACAGCCAAAAGAACGACTGTTTTGTGCTGCTATCGACCACCACTTACCACCCCTATCACTCGTTTTTCGATATTGGGAAAATCAATTTTCGGCTAAATTTCGCATTTTTGATAAGGGGTACCATCATCAAAATTTTCGAAAAATGGCCGAAAATGAAGTTTTCCTGATTCCAGTGCAAATCGATTGGGCATCATAGCAATCAAATTACAAGCCCTACGAGGTATTACATTCCATATTTGGACCATTTTTGGCTGTGCTATGGCTAAAAAACTGATTTTTTGGGGCCCAAGGTCAAGTATACGTCGTTTAGAGCCCAGATTCTTGCCCTTTCTTAGCTCTAACTTTGTCAAAACACGTCGCACGGCTGAAACAGTGACTGTTTTATGCAGCTAACAACCAAAACTTTAAGGCCCTATACTTGCTTTTATCATTAGCGTTTTGATATTTTCTTGCAAGCTCTGGTTTAAGGGCTGAAAAATCAGGAAACCTATTTTTAACAGATATTAGCAATAGTGTGTTCGGGGTTTCAGCTCTAGCTCGGTCAAAACAAGTCGCACAGCCAAAAGAACGACTGTTTTGTGCTGCTATCGACCACCACTTACCACCCCTATCACTCGTTTTTCTATTTTGGGAAAATCAATTTTCGGCTAAATTTCGCATTTTTGATAAGGGGTACCATCATCAAAATTTTCGAAAAATGGCCGAAAATGAAGTTTTCCTGATTCCAGTGCAAATCGATTGGGCATCATAGCAATCAAATTACAAGCCCTACGAGGTATTACATTCCATATTTGGACCATTTTTGGCTGTGCTATGGCTGAAAAATTGATTTTTTGGGGCCCAAGGTCAAGTATACGTCGTTTAGAGCCCAGATTCTTGCCCTTTCTTAGCTCTAACTTTGTCAAAACACGACGCACGGCTGAAACAGTGACTGTTTTATGCAGCTAACAACCAACACTTTAAGGCCCTATACTTGCTTTTATCATTAGCGTTTTGATATTTTCTTGCAAGCTCTGGTTTAAGGGCTGAAAAATCAGGAAACCTATTTTTAACAGATATTAGCAATAGTGTGTTCGGGGTTTCAGCTCTAGCTCGGTCAAAACAAGTCGCACAGCCAAAAGAACGACTGTTTTGTGCTGCTATCGACCACCACTTACCACCCCTATCATTCGTTTTTCTATTTTGGGAAAATCAATTTTCGGCTAAATTTCGCATTTTTGATAAGGGGTACCATCATCAAAATTTTCGAAAAATGGCCGGAAATGAAGTTTTCCTGATTCCAGTGCAAATCGATTGGGCATCATAGCAATCAAATTACAAGCCCTACGAGGTATTACATTCCATATTTGGACCATTTTTGGCTGTGCTATGGCTAAAAAACTGATTTTTTGGGGCCCAAGGTCAAGTATACGTCGTTTAGAGCCCAGATTCTTGCCCTTTCTTAGCTCTAACTTTGTCAAAACACGACGCACGGCTGAAACAGTGACTGTTTTATGCAGCTAACAACCAACACTTTAAGGCCCTATACTTGGTTTTATCATTAGCGTTTTGATATTTTCTTGCAAGCTCTGGTTTAAGGGCTGAAAAATCAGGAAACCTATTTTTAACAGATATTAGCAATAGTGTGTTCGGGGTTTTAGCTCTAGCTCGGTCAAAACAAGTCGCACAGCCAAAAGAACGACTGTTTTGTGCTGCTATCGACCACCACTTACCACCCCTATCACTCGTTTTTCTATTTTGGGAAAATCAATTTTCGGCTAAATTTCGCATTTTTGATCATCAAAATTTTCGAAAAATGGCCGAAAATGAAGTTTTCCTGATTCCAGTGCAAATCGATTGGGCATCATAGTTATCAAATTACAAGCCCTACGAGGTATTACATTCCATATTTGGACCATTTTTGGCTGTGCTATAGCTGAAAAACTGATTTTTTGGGGCCCAAGGTCAAGTATACGTCGTTTAGAGCCCAGATTCTTGCCCTTTCTTAGCTCTAACTTTGTCAAAACACGACGCACGGCTGAAACAGTGACTGTTTTATGCAGCTAACAACCAACACTTTAAGGCCCTATACTTGCTTTTATCATTAGCGTTTTGATATTTTCTTGCAAGCTCTGGTTTAAGGGCTGAAAAATCAGGAAACCTATTTTTAACAGATATTAGCAATAGTGTGTTCGGGGTTTTAGCTCTAGCTCGGTCAAAACAAGTCGCACAGCCAAAAGAACGACTGTTTTGTGCTGCTATCGACCACCACTTACCACCCCTATCACTCGTTTTTCGATTTTGGGAAAATCAATTTTCGGCTAAATTTCGCATTTTTGATCATCAAAATTTTCGAAAAATGGCCGAAAATGAAGTTTTCCTGATTCCAGTGCAAATCGATTGGGCATCATAGTTATCAAATTACAAGCCCTACGAGGTATTACATTCCATATTTGGACCATTTTTGGCTGTGCTATAGCTGAAAAACTGATTTTTTGGGGCCCAAGGTCAAGTATACGTCGTTTAGATCCCAGATTCTTGCCCTTTCTTAGCTCTAACTTTGTCAAAACACGACGCACGGCTGAAACAGTGACTGTTTTATGCAGCTAACAACCAACACTTTAAGGCCCTATACTTGCTTTTATCATTAGTGTTTTGATATTTTCTTGCTAGCTCCGGTTTAAGGGCTGAAAAATCAGGAAACCTATTTTTAACAGATATTAGCAATAGTGTGTTCGGGGTTTTAGCTCTAGCTCGGTCAAAACAAGTCGCACAGCCAAAAGAACGACTGTTTTGTGCTGCTATCGACCACCACTTACCACCCCTATCATTCGTTTTTCGATATTGGGAAAATCAATTTTCGGGTAAATTTCGCATTTTTGATAAGGGGTACCATCATCAAAATTTTCGAAAAATGGCCGAAAATTAAGTTTTCCTGATTCCAGTACAAATCGATTGGGCATCATAGCAATCAAATTACAAGCCCTACGAGGTATTACATTCCATATTTGGACCATTTTTGGCTGTGCTATGGCTAAAAAACTGATTTTTTGGGGCCCAAGGTCAAGTATACGTCGTTTAGAGCCCAGATTCTTGCCCTTTCTTAGCTCTAACTTTGTCAAAACACGACGCACGGCTGAAACAGTGACTGTTTTATGCAGCTAACAACCAACACTTTAAGGCCCTATACTTGGTTTTATCATTAGCGTTTTGATATTTTCTTGCAAGCTCTGGTTTAAGGGCTGAAAAATCAGGAAACCTATTTTTAACAGATATTAGCAATAGTGTGTTCGGGGTTTTAGCTCTAGCTCGGTCAAAACAAGTCGCACAGCCAAAAGAACGACTGTTTTGTGCTGCTATCGACCACCACTTACCAACCCTATCACTCGTTTTTCGATATTGGGAAAATCAATTTTCGGCTAAATTTCGCATTTTTGATAAGGGGTACCATCATCAAAACTTTCGAAAAATGGCCGAAAATGAAGTTTTCCTGATTCCAGTGCAAATCGATTGGGCATCATAGCAATCAAATTACAAGCCCTACGAGGTATTACATTCCATATTTGGACCATTTTTGGCTGTGCTATGGCTAAAAAACTGATTTTTTGGGGCCCAAGGTCAAGTATACGTCGTTTAGAGCCCAGATTCTTGCCCTTTCTTAGCTCTAACTTTGTCAAAACACGACGCACGGCTGAAACAGTGCCTGTTTTATGCAGCTAACAACAAACACTTTAAGGCCCTATACTTGCTTTTATCATTAGTGTTTTGATATTTTCTTGCTAGCTCCGGTTTAAGGGCTGAAAAATCAGGAAACCTATTTTTAACAGATATTAGCAATAGTGTGTTCGGGGTTTTAGCTCTAGCTCGGTCAAAACAAGTCGCACAGCCAAAAGAACGACTGTTTTGTGCTGCTATCGACCACCACTTACCAACCCTATCACTCGTTTTTCGATATTGGGAAAATCAATTTTCGGCTAAATTTCGCATTTTTGATAAGGGGTACCATCATCAAAACTTTCGAAAAATGGCCGAAAATGAAGTTTTCCTGACTCCAGTACAAATCGATTGGGCATCATAGCAATCAAATTACAAGCCCTACGAGGTATTACATTCCATATTTGGACCATTTTTGGCTGTGCTATGGCTGAAAATCTGATTTTTTGGGGCCCAAGGTCAAGTATACGTCGTTTAGAGCCCAGATTCTTGCCCTTTCTTAGCTCTAACTTTGTCAAAACACGACGCACGGCAGAAACAGTGCCTGTTTTATGCAGCTAACAACAAACACTTTAAGGCCCTATACTTGCTTTTATCATTAGTGTTTTGATATTTTCTTGCTAGCTCCGGTTTAAGGGCTGAAAAATCAGGAAACCTATTTTTAACATATATTCGCAATAGTGTGTTCGGGTTCTCATTTATTTTAAAAATATATATAATATATCTAAATCCTATAAAAACCACTTTATATAGAAGCAAAGTTAATTTTTGTTGATTACAAATTGTTCACAAGGTACAGATACAGATACACGACATACTAATATCACATTCAACTAGCAGTTTAATATTGTCATTGAACTAAAATCGTTTACGCTTCCAAAGGACATCACCAAAGGGGCCTATATTCTGTGGATGGTCTCTTATACATCCAGGACGGCAGAAATCGCAAGGAACACTTGCACAGAATACATATCGTGGATGTGAACCTTAGATTTTTTCGCAATGGTACCGGATGCATCCACTGTTGCCTCATTGTGGTAAAGTCCTTTCGCTGGATCTTATTGTCGCAATCACGATCAAAGATGGAGAAAATGACATCCGTAAGATGTTCGGAGAGTTCAACGCCGGACACCACACGTGAGATATGTTGCAGGGTTTTGGGTGATATATCCGCACCGGTCAAATAGTAGAAGGCAAGCTCATTGTCCATGATACTAACATCTTGTACAAATCGGAAAAAGGCCAGGAATTCGTTTAGATTTATTCCACGTTTCGTCTGGCCAAACTTTTCTTTAACCCGCTTTAGAGTTTCGCGTCGCCTTCTGTGGGAATAACTAAAGCCCAGCACCACCTTGGCAAAGTCCAGTTCGGAGATCACAGATCTGAAAGTAACCAATTCCAGTCCATTATATCATTTTAGCCTCAACGAGAGGTAACTTACTTGGAATTCTTCAGAAGATTACGAAACTGCTGCGTGTGGATTTCTGTATGCAATTGGTTTAGAAACTCCAAAAAATCATTAATACTCAGTGTCCTTTCAGCTCGAGATCCAAAGAGAATGTTCTTCAGGTGAGACGCTCTTATGGATGCTTCACCCCTGGTAATAGCCAGAAGAAATTGCTCCAATTCTTCTATTGTCACGTTGCCATCACCATTCAAATCGAATAGCTTAAAGCCAATTCGAATGTTTCGCTCGGGTATGGATATTAGAATGTTCAGGAACACATAGTCACTGTAGGTTAGCAAACCTGACTTCGTCATCTTCAAGAAAATACTGTCCTTCCTGACATTCGGCCGCCAACTCTTGGCAACATTCTCATCAAAAATTTGATATTTGTCTAGGCCCAATCTATCCGGCTGCCTGGCTCCGGGTTGAATTGATCTCAGGAAATCGTTGGGAGTCATATATAGTTCCCATTTACCAGATTTGTTCTTCATCTTAATGGTGGCAAAATATCGAAAAATCTTCATAGGATGTGAGTACAATCTGAGACGATTTTCATACTGTCCAATGGCATAATCACGAAACGAAGCTCGATGGGGACTGACGGCAATGCGACGTCGTCCAGTAGTGGACCTAGTTTCATCATTGGAGATGACATGCAATACAGTAGACAAAGGCCATATACTTGCTCGACATTTTAAGTTTTCCCCCTTTTCATCACTCCAAATGTACGAGTAAATAGAACGAGACCAGAGAAAAATCATAGGAAAGAATCGCGACATGATTCACTATTGGAAACTATCATAAACAGAGAAAAGTCACGAATATGACGGAACTCCAAATTTAGCTTGCGGTTTGATTTAAGCGTTTTAGGTTTACCGAGAATTTGGGTCAATTTTCCTTTTTCTATTTTGTTGGTAGTTAAACTTGACTCAAACTGATTGATGTTGCCTGGCCTCTTGCTGATTTTTGCACCCTCCCCTTGGACCACACACACAGCCTGCCACACATTCTGGATGGAAAAGCATTAAAAGTAATCAGCAGCGCAAATGTTTGCACTACGGAAATTCTGGTGGTGATGGTGCATGCTGCTTGGACTTTATAAGGCCCCAGGGAAATTTGCGAACAATAAACTGAGCGGATGAAGGGGAAAAAACTTTGCTTCGATTTGTGGATTTCCTCTAATTTCTCTGCACTGGATTTCTATGCATTTATGGGCGGTCAGCCGGAAATTTTGCCTGCCATTGTATTGAGGTGCTTGGAATATCTGAAAAAGTTGCCCCCAAAACTTCTTATTCTTGGCCAGGGTGCGACTCTGAAGTACTCTCGTTGGTAAGTTTCGTTTTCAAGGACCCACTCCTTGGGCTCGCAAAACTTTCGATGGGTCTTCAAGTCCTGCATTTGGCTAATAAAAGTAGGCTAAGACGTGTGAGTCATGTATATGTATATATGTAGAGGGAAGAAAAAAAAATTAATATTACACATATTCGCCATAAATCATAAGCAATTTGTTCAAAATATTCCGATAAATATTTATACAAAGCCTATTATTCAAAATCAATTCATGGAAAGCTGTAAAAACCATTGCCAACTTATTTATGAATTTTGATTAGGCTTTTGTGCGTATAAATTCTGCAGAGCAAAAATATACACAAGACTTAAAAATAATCCTAAAATTAATCTTTTGTTGAAAAATATCACAATTTCTTGCTTTATTCATTTTATAAAATAAGTTGAATTTTGTTTAACAACCAGCTATTGATTTAGGTTTTCTATGCAATGAAAATGCTGCTGGTTTTTAATTGTTTTAAAAGTACTTAAAAGTTTATGGTTTTTATGTAGCTAAGCAAATGTTAACAATGTTAGCCTTCGTTAAAATTAGCTGAACTAGCAGTTTGTTATTTATTAATAATTAATTGTTGCTGTAAAAAATTTTTTATATAATAAAACCTTTTTGAAATTGATACATTTAAATGTTGTAACAATTTGGGTAAACCTAACATCATTATCTTATAACCCAAATGACAATATGTAGATGTTTTCACATAACAATATCGTTTGAAAGGCCTGATTTTTGTAAACGCTGATTGACAAACGGATTGATTTCGATGCCACGTCCCGAATGTTAATTTAGACATGGTGTTTGACACTTGATTAAAGCCCGACACTTTCCCGTAGAAAAGTCCGTGCTGCTCCACTTTGCTCACGTAGGCCGTTGGATGGAAATTCCCTGGTGACGGCTGGTTTTTGCTTCAAAAGGGAACGTGGCCAACCAGGTGAATAATGCTCGCCGTGGCACTTAAGCCGGGCCAAAAGTTTAGGCTTTCCTTTTGTCAAACGGCTGTCAACCCGAAGCTCCAATCCTTTTGTCCGATTCGTTTGGCCTGGCATTCTCGCATTCTGGCATTCTGGCATCGTGGCATCATGGCATCCTGGCATATTTGCATATTGTATATATATGTGTGAGTGTGTGTGTCTGCCACACATAAACAACAATCAGAGCATAAACAAAGGTGGCGCCAAAGCCAGTCGAGCATTTTGGCCGCTGCCGAAAATTAAGTTAAACAAAAAACAGCCGCATTCGCAATAGCAGCCGCAGCAGTCCCAATGCAGTGAAAGTCAAACGGAAGCGGAAACGGATACGCCCCCAGGCGGAATGACAGAAATTGTCACGTTTTTGGCCTTTGAGTGTGGGTGACAAATAAGGACCACACATACACACTTACCTACTTACTCACACATCTGTGAGCCTGTTTATTGCTTTGATTTAACATCAATTGTAAACTGCTTGCGTTTGTGATTTGTCATGTGTCACAACCTGAAAATGAAAATGAAAATGGGGAACATAGAAAGTGGAATAAGGTATGGAAGGAATGGTGTTGCCTACTTATATGCGCGCAAAATTAATCAACTATTTTATGATGATGCTTTGCAGATGCACAGGGAGAAAAATGAATAAATTGGTAACACAAATTAATATTAAAAATAAACGAAAAATAAATGAAACTAATTTAGCATCTGAGGTATCAGATTTTATGATTATTTTGGACATGTTGATATATGATTTGTCTTTAAATTCGCTAATTTAATATTTATTTTTTAAAAATCCTTCAAAATTCTAAAAATGTATTTCATCCTTCACTTTTTTAAAGTTTTCTTCAACCTGATAGCTTATTAAAATCTTTTTTTCGCTTTCATTTAATCCGCGTTGCTTTTCATATGCAAATTGCGAAACCGCTTTCGGCATTTGGCGGATTTGTCATGACCACTTGACACACACAGACTTCCCCTTCATGATTGGCAGGCATTTTGCGAACTAATATGTGCGGCATATGCCAAATACAGTGGCTGGGAAGGAGGGAAACTTTCAGTTTCACCCACTCACTTTTATCGAACTGCTGCACAGTAACGGCTTTCCAATCGGCTGAGCGGAAAAGCCGGGAAATCGGTCGAGGAGTTGTCTTTCTTTCGGCGAGTTTTATTTCCCCCTTTTCTTTTCCTTATTTTGGCTTTGTTGCCGGCGCATTGCATTTCTTTCACTTGTCTGCCCCCGGAAGACTTTTAATTTTATAAATTGTCTCGCATATGTGTGAGCGAGGGTTGGGTTTTCCTTTGTCGCCGGGCTGCCATTGTCGTCAGCTTAAGATTTTGATAAGCCATTGAAAAGTGTGTCTATAAGCACTCGAGCATTCAAGTGTCGTTCGCTTTGTTTGCCTTAACTATAAATGGCTTAATAACAGATTTCACAGCGACAGTTGATGTCTTCAGCGAGCTTTTCTTCTACTTTTCTTTTTTTTCTTTTTCACTTACCCACTTCACTTCTCTTACTATAATTTGTTTGCGTTTGCATGTCGATGGGAAAAAGGAGAATTATTGAAATTTGAGTGGACTTCAAAGCGATTGCAAAAATCGAATTAGAACGCACAGAGCAAAAATGTGGAGAGGAAAGACAATCGAGAAGGACACTCTTGTCCATGGAGCGTGAATTATGTGATTTATGGTGGCGGCTTGTTTGCCAAACGCTTCGCAATTACATAAGCACTCCCATTCTGCCCTTTTTTTATCGGATCGTAAAAGAAAAAAAATAGAAAATACTGGGAAAAACAACCACCAAAAAATGGGCGTAAAATATGAAATAATATTCTTGCTATCGTATGTTAAATGCGTTTGCAAATATGTTTGCCAAGAAACTTTTGCGCGAGGGTTTCGTTGTGGGGTTCGTTCTTCTTCTCGCAAGACCAAGGGTTTCTCCACAACTCAATGTTAGGGTATTTACAAACCTCCATCATCCATATGCTGGTTGGAATTTTATTTTTTGGCAAATTTGTTGCCTCAATGGACACACAGCGTACTTCCGCCTTTTGCCGGAGTTCCTTTTCCTTGTTTTTTGTTGTTGTTGTTTTGTGCTCGGTTCCCGGGTAATAATTCTAGATTTATGAAAATTGTTTTTCCGTTAATGTTTGCCATGTTTTCGACGTTTTTATGTTGCTGCTCCAAGATGAAATTTAACCGAATGCACACGCACACATACTCTGCATAGAAGCTGTAACAGTCGGTGGGGTATGTATACAGTGGTGGTCAAGATAATAGCACTAGGTATGATTCAATTTAAAAATCTTGTATTAGGACATGCTAATGATACCATAAACTAGCCTTCTTAGATAATATATCAATGAATGTAAAACTTTCGTAAAAGAATTTCAATACTTATTATGAAAAATTTAGTTATCCCTTTAAAAATCCCATGTTCTAAAATTCCCACCTCAGCTGTATGTAGACTGTAAGAATTGTATTTGAAGGACATGTTCCTGGGGCGGGCGAGTGGTCCACATTCCTGCCTGTGGAATGTGATCCCCGCAATTTTCGGCCATTTCCATTACGGCTCTGTGAAGGGACTCTTCCCATTGACTTTTTGCGGGTTGATATGAAAGTTTTCGCCCAGACGCAGTTTGCAAATTTTCCAAAATTTGATTTCTGTATCCCACGAAAAGGGTTGTTTCAACGTTTGATTAAATTTCCACCCGTTCCCTATGACATTGTCATAAATCTTTCATGACTTTCGGAGGGGGCGTAGCACTGAGGGTGGTGCCCGGAAAATTGCTGCATACGTAACTGGGTTTTATGGTGCGTGTGCAGTTAGGAGAAAGTGCGTGGTAATGAGCATTATTCCTGCAAATCCCCCCACGCTGATAAATGGCCAAAGGACCAGAGCTAACTGGGTAGAGTGTTGTTGAGCTTCAGCACCTGTTAGTGAAATCTGTGTTTCGGTCGCTAATTAAGAATTAACTTACCCGGACAAAAGGCAAATAAGCCACAAACGGCAAATGCAACCACTGCAACTGCAATTATTTTTGCATGCAAATAATTATTTGTGCAAATAAACAAATGCAATCAAATGTAAATTGATAATTATGCAAGGCATGTGGCTGGTAATTATGGCCAAGTCTGGTCGTGATTGCGATTGTGGGCCATTTGAATTATTGGTAAGATGGTCAGTCCGTATTCGCATGGCCAGTTCTGCCGCTGTGCAATTTCAATTACGTTCTGCAGCCGCCCGCTTTAAGTTTTTGCTTAAACTCAATTTAATGCTCTCTTCCTGTGGCCAGCAATTTGGACCGCAATCTGTTTATAGTGTCAATTGTGAAAGTGAATTTATCTAAATCTACTTTTCCAGCAGCAGGAGCAGCAAGCAGCAGAGTAAGTTCATTGGCTGGCCAAATGCAAATGTAACGAGCGGCATTTGCATACATCGAAGCACCCAAGGATCCTCCTTGTTCTCTTTTTTTTTTTTTGGTCTACTCCCTTTATCCTGCTCTATTTCACCCATTGAGTGTGTGTGAGTTTCAGTAGCTGGAGACAAACAGATATCGATTTTGTTTCGGTGTGAGTGCTGCG